AAGAATACCCCACACGTTGTACAGTCCCACTACCTGAGAAAGGAAACTCCTTAGTTCCTACTGCACAGGAAACCTCTGTGGCATTACACTGCAGCAGATACAGGCCATGCTTTTGTCAAGATTCTTACCAGGTAGCTTAGTGCACTTGCAAGTTGCTTGGCAACTTTGAATTTCCAAGGAGTTGTCAGAACTTCACTTTTTCGACGCATGAACAGATCCAGAGGCCCAAATTCAACAAACTCTTCAACCATGATATCTGCAAAGTCAGGGGTATAAAGTCAGTATGGCAACAACCAGGGTCTGGAGTAATCTAAGAGATCTGTTACAACCTTCACACCCCTCTGGGTGAGGTGGTTGTAGTGTGGCTTTATTTCATCTTCCTCTAAGTTTACTTCAGTGCCCAGAGTCCAAATTAAAAGGCTGTGAAGAGTGGCTCTGTGTAGTAAATGAAGAGTAAACCTGGAGCAAGGCATGTCAAAGACAGGGCAGAGCCTTCCCAGGGAAGTAACCTCTGCCAGAAGGCTGGTGTGCACCAACCCTATCAACCCCCAACCACTCTGGCATCCCGACCTCAGGGAATCATCCTGCAGGGCATTTATGCAAAGACAGCACTGGAGAGGAAAGCTGTCAGTAGGCAGGATGGTGCAGCTGCCTTGCTCTTCCAATTCCCCTTCTTTCTGCCCTGAAAACTCAAGAGGCAGCAGGTGCCAACCCCTCCTTGCCCCATGCCAGCCCTGAGGTGAATGGCTGCCCCCTCCCCAGCCACACCTGCTCCCAGGAAAGACCTTCAGGGGACTCACTTTCAACCCCACGGACGCAGACTCCATGGAGGAGCACGATGTGCTTGTGAGACACCTGCCTCATCATGCTTGCTGTCTCAAAGAATGCCTGTTGGAAAGAGACAGAGGAAGAGCCATTCAACTGCTGATCACTGTGGTAGCCATCCAAGAGATCAACAAACATGGGTCATCAAGTAACAAAAACATCTGCCAAAGATGACTGTGTTTTGTAGTAACAGAATCATAGATTGCTTTGGGTGGGAAGGGACCTTTCAAGGTCATCTGGTCCCACCCCCTGCAGGGAGCAGGGACATCTGCAGCTAGAGCAGGGTGCTCAGAGCTCCATCCAACCTCCCCTGGGATGGTGCCAGGGATGGGGCAGTGACCACCTCTCTGGGCAACTTGGGCCACCATCTCACCACCCTCAGTGTAAAATTTCCTTCCTTCTCTCTAGTCTAAATCTCCCTCTCTTAGTTTAAAACCATCCCCCCTTGTCCTCTCCCAACAGGCCCTGCTCCCATCTTTCTGATAGGCCCCTTGAAGTACTTAAAGGTCACAATAAGGTCTCTTTGGAGCCTTCTCTCCAGGCTGAACAACTCCACTAGGACCTGTCCAGCTGGTCCATGTTCTTCTTGTGCTGAGGACTCCAGAGCCGGACACAGTAAAGGGTCAACAGTGGTAGAGATGGGCCAGCCCACCAGAGTAATGGGGCAGCAGAATGCTGTCAGAGTTGTGTTGGTCATCTAAGCAACAAGCACTCCCACAGACACTCATATCCAAGGCCTTGGCATCCCCTGGGTGATGTGCTGGCCTCTCTTACCAGATTGCTCTCTACAGCTACCCAAAAGGAAGCTGTAGTGAGGTGGGTGTTGGTCTCTTCTCCCAAGGAACTAGTGACAGGATGAGAGGAAACAGACTTCTGTTGTGCCAGGGGAGGTTTAGATTGGCTATTGGGAAGAATTTCTTCCCTGGCAGAGTGGTGAGGCCTTGGCCCAGGCTGCCCAGGGAGGTGCTGGAGTCACCAAACCTTCAGGGGTTCACAAAATGTGGAGATGGCACTTGGGGCCATGGTTTAGTGTTCATGGTAGTGTTGGGTTGATGGGTGGACTTGATGATCTTAGAGGTCTTTTCTAACCTTAAAATATTCTATGATTCAGCAAAAATGCCTGTGACCACGTTGATGGCAGAACTGGTGACAGACTCCCAGCCCACAGCAGAGGTAACTTCTGGTGGGCAGCACTGCCCTCCCTCATGGCACAGCTGGAAGCCCCTGGGTATGGGTATGATGGTGCATTTGACACCACAGCAAGGCCTGGGTCCACTCTCCTTCAGTGTATGGGCTGCACACGTGAGGACTGGAAGTGAGACCAGTTGACTGAGTACCTCAAAAACACTCCTCCATGATGGATTTGACTGCCTAAATTAGTGAGATACACCCTCAGCACCTTCCCACCCCCTTACTATATACACAACCTGGTTTTTCAAAAGGCTTTCCCTAGTTCACCATGCACAACACGAGGCCCAGTATTTGCAGCACCACAGACAAAAAGGAGAAAAACTTGCCAAAGAAATGTCTCTGTGGCTGGGGTCCAAGACTTTGAGGAGGACTTTCATCTCTTTCTCATTCTGATATCCTTCGTTCTCCTCGTCTTTGTAGCTGAGGATCCCCGAGTAAATCTGCGTCTTCGTCCCTCTTCCCAGGTGTTCACCCTGAGACACAACAGAGTGTGGATTGTTCCAACCACCACGTGAGGCAAACAAGTGTCAATTTACACAGACATGAATCCTGCACTCTGCTTCTCCAAGTGGAGAGTGGACTTAGCCCTCCACTTGATCCAGCTACATACAGACCTCAAATGATTACAGTAAGAAACCAACAGCACCTTATTCTTTGCTTCAGAGGTCTCTCTGAGCTTGCCACTGTGATCTCACTTGATATTAAAGGGTTATTACACCTCCATTAACATCAAACAGGTCCAGTGTCTAACGTTATTAGACTAAACACCAAATGAATAAATAATAACTGGCCTCTTATTTACAATCAGCTGCTATTGAGGCAATCTGTAATGTGTTTCCAAAAGTTTAGAGGAAGTAATATTTCAAGGGAACACTTTGTTTGGGCAAGTCATTTCCTCCTAAATAACAGGGGATTCTGCCTTGGGATATTGTTGCAGGAAGCCTGCAGGCTGACTGTAAATACACCAATCAAAAAATAACTCACATAATCTCTACCTGTCCAGTATTGCAATTTAAAAACAAATAAAAAGAACCCTTTTCATTTAACAGAACAAAACCAGAAGCAGCTAACTAAGCTGCTGAATACTTCACCCCTTGGCTTTTCTTTTTTTCTGCAGGATATTTTACTGTAGGCAACTTGAGGTTTAAACCATGAGGATTTATCTTCCATCTGCCTGTTCCTCTGGTATGTCAGGCTTTAAAAGAGACAGCCACATTTAGCAACAAACCATTTAGGAAAAACAGCTCTTAAGAACTTCATGATTTTTAATGAATGAGCTTAGAAGCACCTCTGTCCACAGATACTAGAAAACTGCTCAAAAATCAATTTAATTTCTGGTCAAAGCCACTGCTTCACAGCTTCTCTTCTTTTTCCATACAAGGACATAGAAATATTTAGATTCTGCAGTAACTAAAGGAAAGATTCAAACCAAGTTTTGCTGATGAGAAACAGGAGTGGAAGAACCAGGCAGGATGGGGTGAATTTTTATCCCTGGAGTGGGTGCTGCTGGGGACTACCACAGGGGCTACAGGAGAGACACACAGCTCAGCAGCTACCAACCTGCAGGATCTCCTCCTTGGGGATCCGGTGGAAGCTCAGCTGCCCCAGGGAATACACAGGCTGCCATTCCTGGGCCTTCTTGGTTGCAACTAGCAAGTTGGAGATTTCTGGAAGGCAGGGAGAAAAAAATATTCCTTAAGATTGGTCAAGGATAGCTGCTTTCACCCTGCTCAGTCAGCAATGTTACCTGTGGGCTTGCTGCCAGGTAAATCCCCAAAGGAATGAGGAGGAGGGAGAACAGAAGAAACTTTGACTCAGCTTGTGCTTATGTAGCTTCTCTTCTATCATTCAGCTGAGAATTCACTACAGCAGAGCTACATATTTACTATTATACATCATGTAAACAGTAGCCATATTTGGGCTGATATTAAGAACCTGAGCAAAATGTCATGAAAATGTATCATCCCTCTATGCTGCAGACAATCACCAACGTCCCTCCAAGTGCTCAGGGCCTGGCTACAGAGACCTCTCCTCTGAAACCATCAGAACAAGCAGGTAATTAATGCAGCTCAGTTATTCCCCTTATTCTAGCAGGAAACCATTATCTGATCAGAACAATCACGCCACTGTTTCCTCTTTCACACAAAGTTCAGCTACAAGACACTTGTAGTTTAGAGCAAACAATTTTCCTAAGTGTTGGCATGAAGAGTTTAACAAATGCACGATTGTCCCAGCTCTCCAAAACCTGACCCTGCAGATGGATTTGCTGCCTGTGAGGCTGCTCTGCTCCCTAACACTTGCAGACCAAGCCTCCCCTGCTGCTTCATGGACATGAACAGAGTAAACAGCCACTCAGAACGAGAGCAAACAAGCTCCCAACCCAAGGTTGCCACACAACCAGTGCAGGTTGCAACCTTCCTTTGTGAGAGGAACTCAGCCTGGCCCTGCCTGGCATACGTGACTTGGTGGAGCAGAGGAAGAACCTTATATGGGCCCCACTTCACCACAGCACTGCAGCCCAGGGCTCTGAGTCAGCCCTGACATTTGCTTTTTTAAACAAATCTGCAGTTCCACCTCTGCTGTTGATGCTGCAGGGCTGGCTGGTTAGGTGCAGAAAGGGAAACTAGACCTCTTCTCACTCTCCTTTGAAAAGCTGACACAAGTCAGGCTGATGAAAAGCATCAGCCCCTGAGCATCCTGTGCTGAGCTTCGAACGTGGAAAGGAAAACGCCCAAAACCTTGTGCACAGTGTTTGCTGTTGCCTTTTGGTGAGATGACTCCTCCACAGAGAAGGACTCATAGAACAGAATCAGAATCCTTTTGGTTGGAAGAGACCTTAAAGATCATTGAGTCCAACCATCCCCCAGCACTGCCAGGTCCCCACTGCCCCGTGTCCCTCACACCACATCTCCACGGCTTGGAAACCCCTCCAGGGGTGGGGACTCCACCACTGCCCTGGGCAGCCTGGCACAGCCCTGGGCAACCCTCCAGGGCAAGAAATTGTTCCTCAGGGACAACCTCAACCTCCCCTGGGGCAACTCAAGGCTGTTCCCTCTTGTCCTGTCCCTTGTCCCTTGGGAGCAGAGCCCGACCCCCCCCTGGCTCCAGGCTCCTGTCAGGAGCTGTGCAGAGCCAGAAGGTCTCCCCTGAGCCTCCTTTGCTCCAGGCTCAGCACCCCCAGCTCCCTCAGCTGCTCCTCCCCACACTTGGGCTCTAGACCCTTCCCCAGCAGCTCCGTTGCCCTTCTCTGGCCACACTCCCAACTCCTCAAGGTACTTCTTGGAGGATGGGAGCCAAAATTGAACCCAGGATTCAAGGTGTGGTCTTCCCAGTGCCCAGTCCAGTGGACAATTCCTGCCCTGGTCCTCCTGGCCACACTGGTGATGATCCAAGCCAGGATGCTGGTGGCCTTCTTGACCACCTAGGCACACACTGTCCCATCCTCAGCCAGCTGTTGACCAACACCTCCAGGTCCTTTTTCACTGGGCAGCTTTCCAGCCCAGTGAAAGCTATGGGCTTTCACTTTTTTCTTTTATATAAGAAGCTATATATGAAGAGCTTCACACAAGAAACCAGAACAAACCAAAGGCACTACAAATGCCTCCTGTTTCTGCAGCTTGTTTCCTTTCACCACCAAAATTTGTTGCTCCTCTTAAAGGTCAAACTACCTCTTGGTTTTGGTTGGCAGCATCTCTTCAGTGTAAAGCTTATGTTGTCTGTTCGAAGTATCTGTCCTTTCAGATGATCCATCAGCTCTTTCAAGGATGAGAAAGACTTGTTTGATCCATGTAGGAAGTAACCCCCTTTCTTCACCTCAATCTGGAAGTTCTTGTATGGGACTGAGTTATTCATCATCTGCTATCAGGATGGAGTAGGGAAAACAGAAAGCAAGATATTATTATTGAAGGAAAGAATGTTTTAAAGCCACAAAAGCTCCCCCAAAGCCTTTGAGAGTACTTAATGACTTGCTTCTAAGCTAGGGCCCTGAATCAAACTCCAATGGAGTAGAAAAAGGCCCTAAAATTCCTATAACCTGCAGTCCCAGGAAGGCTCATAATACAGTGGAAGAGAAACAAAGATGCAATTATCTAACAGGTCCAATTCTGGCTCCTGTGCTGTGCAAAGCCTGAGATGATACAATAGCCCCAACTCCTCAGAAGAAATTTTCCCTTCACTTGGTCAAGAATTGCAGAATCTGGACGATGGTTTCAAAATCTCCACTTAAAACCAGCAAGGCTCCATTTCACCATTCAGACTGTTCCACAAGGGAAACAAGGCTTCAGGCTGCTGTTCAACCCTTCCAGTTTCATTCCAGTGTACTGAGGAAGAACAACTGAACTTCTGCACTTACCTACGTCAAGCCCATGCCCTTTCAAGCTCTACTCTCTGCTCCTGCTTCTTCACCTCTACTATTCTACAGCTTTGCATCACCTCTCTCCTCTCTAAGCCTTGCAGGGAGGTTGAACACCTTCCAAGACAAAACTGATTTGTCTCAGTGCCTCAGTTGCCCTGTCTGTGGAAAGATTCTGTTGGTTATATAGTTTTTTTGCCAGTGTCTACAGAAGATGGACCAAATATCAATGCTAAGAGAGCACTAATATTTCCAACAGATTTTTGTCATCATTTTGCTGTTTCTTGTTTCAAACATCCCTTCTTGATCTCATCACTATTGAATCACTACTGATTCTATTAGTATTTTTTCCTAAAAGAAGGAAAATGGTTTACAAGCCCTTACACTATTATTATTAATATTATTATATGAACACTTTCAGCATCTTCCCAAAACTATCAAATGAGCACCAGACTTCCAGCTGAGCTTAAATTTTATAATTCAAACTTCTGTGCAGTTGCTGCATTCTTCTTTTCTACTTCTAACTGGTGTTCCCACCTATCCCACCTCATGAGCTTCTACTTTTCATCTTTCACAACACATGTTCTACCAGCTACCTGTGTGGATGTCCTCCCTGTGGTGCTCTACAGAGAAAGGTAACTGTCCTCACACACTACTCTTTGACAGTGTCTCAGCTGAAATACATCCATAGCATTAAATCCACGTTCAGGAAATACTAGGTAAGCAGCACTGAAAATTCTTTATGTCATTCTCACACCATTTGAGTTTAAAAAGCTTCATTTCAATCATGTTCCTGCACAGTTTTATTGCTATGAATGGAAATGTGCTGGATGCAATGAATGATATTTGTAGATCCAGCTTATTTGTAGAGTTAAATGAAATTTGTAGAGGAAAATGAAGTTATGAGTACAAGTATCTATCTCTGCTGTGTCAGCTATCAAAGATAAGTGTCTGCCCTGAAGACCATCAATCTATCAACATGGATTAGGAGGAGACTTTGAGTCTTCAGCTCATGACCAGATTGCTGTTGGGAATGACACACCTAACCTACCTCTGAGCCTTCAAAACAAGTCACTGTCATGAGAATGTGGTTGAAGTTTGTGCAGCTCCATCTCAACACATACATCCCCACCTCGTTCCCTTCCTGGCGCAGTTTGTTGATGGCATATTCCGTGCTGAAAGAGCCAAAGTACAGATGAGGAAAACCAACAAAATGAGTAATTTCATCTAAAAATCTGTGAGTAGCAAATACACAGGAGAGTAATCTTGTGTTGGGAACAAAACTGTGTAAGAGCAACTTAGAAATATTTCTGTATTATTATCCAAATGTGATTTAATTGTGTGCATGACACGCATTTAGCTGTAAAAGAGCAAGGGAAGGAAGTTTTATTAAGCTCTTAGCATGTTTAAAGGGGAAATTCTGCATCCAACACAATGTCCACTCCAGTTCTCAGTTTTATATACATTGCATCTTCAAACATAAAAGGAAAAGCCAAAAAGGTGGGCAGAAGAGAAAATAACTGCTTTAGCTATTAAAAAAAAAACCACCTTTCTGGAGGCTTTCTGTCTCCAGCCAAGGATTTCCAAGGTCAGAGTAGATACAACTCAACTTTCTTTACCTAAAATACTTCCATCTGTTCCACTGACAATGATCTTTACAGCTATTATAAATAGCTGTAAATTAGAAATACTCTTATCAGTGAGGAAACATTGGTTTTAGAGATGAGTAAGTTGATGTGGAATCAATGATACTTTTTTCCACATAATCATCAGAAAAAATAAGTCTTTCTACAATATTCTGTTAATGAACAGGCTTCTAAATGTCTGATGTCCTCAAAGGATTTAATATAAACTAGTAATGGAGGATTGGTTTTTCAAGTGGAAAAATAAAACCCAAATATTTTGCTAACCAAATGGGTCCATGGCATCCATTTTTTATGTTGTGCTCAATGAGTGGAGGAGCCACATCTGTGCAGAGATAATGGTGAGCATCTGCTGTCAGTCTGAAGTACCCATCTATCAACGACGCAAAGGACAGGGCCTCATCATGGGAGGACAGCTTCAATTCCTAAAACAGAAAGCTGTTTCAGTCAAGAATTCTCAACAGTTCCACTCAAACATTTCAGGAATGTTTTAATATCCAACAATTTTCACATAAAGTGGCTCAAAAATTGCCCAGAAAGCTATGATAGAAACCCACAGACATGTAGAAAGCCAACACTGACCATCCTCTATCCTCCCTGCTCACTACTGATCTCATTCTGTGGCAAGGTGAGATGCTTAGCAGATGAGGAAAGGCTGTAGATGTTTTCAGTAAAGCTTTTAAGATCATTTCCCCCTGCATTCTCCTGGAGAAACTGGCTGCCCATGGCTTGGCCAGGCATACACTTCACTGGATAAAAACCTTGAGGGGCTGGAGCATGTCCAGAGAAGGGCAACGAAGCTGGGGAAGGGTCCAGAGCTCAAGTCTTACGAGCTGTACAGCTTCCAATGGGAAGGAAACCTATCCAAGGTTTGGATCTTACCATCCTTTTGTTATCCTGCTTGTTAATGCTAACTGTAGACTCCTTGATAACAATGTGGGTGATTTCAGGAAAATAGGAAAAATTGTTCCACAAGTCTCGAATTTTGTGTTTTTCTTCATCCTTTTTGGTTTTGCCATCAGACTTTTTTTTCTTCTCTTTCTCTGTCTGTAGAGACTGCAAATATAGTTTGGATGGAAGCATAACAATAATGTATTTTTTAGCACAGTGCTTTTACACTAAAACACAAATTCATTCCAAATTCATCTAAATATTTGATTCTTGAATGCTTTTTGCACCAAACGATCAGTCCATTTACATGTTCAATGTATTGCAAGGACATACTTGAGTCAGGAACTGTCCATAAGACAGTTTGCACGAGGATACAAGAACTCAGTGTTCAGTCAGACAGCTCACCTCTCTCTCAATATGCTTTAGTAGCAGTGTAAGGCCAAAAGAATTCTGAAATTTCTGAACTACTCTCTCAGAACTCAGCCCAAAAGCCAGAGCCATGTTCCTCTTGCAGTGCATGCCTGAGCTGCCAAAAGCAAATGAAATTCTGCAGGCAGACAACGAAGCTGTGCATCTTACAGCTCAAAAAATACTGAAAATTCTTGGTAACTACTTCTTTTTAAGAAATGTTCAGGCTGAGGAAAGCTTCCTGCTAGTCACAGAAAGGTGCAGACAGAGATGAAAGTCTTTGGTTTAGGCATTTAAAGAACTATCATCTGTAAATCAGCAGAAACAGGAGCCTTACAAAAAGCAGGCTGCACCTCCTGCCACCTTTTCTGCTCAAATATCAGTTCTTCCTTCTCTCCTCCCATTAACCTTATCATTTAAAAGGGAAATTCTGCATCACCTATAATCCTATGAAAGAAGTCCTTTCAATAAAAAGCTGACCTACAGTGTCAGAAGATGATGACCATTTTTAAACAGTTACTATGCCCCCAAAAGCAATCCTCTAAGTCCCATTTATCAAGGGATACTTACATTTGGCTTGAGCCTCCACTGAATCCCATTGTTTCCTGTGACAATGACCTCATAGAGTGGGAGGCTCTCACTGTCACCACAATTAAATCGATTTATTTCATTCTCAGATGAAATCAGCAAATCTGAAGTCTCAAAAATTTCTGCTCCATAATGTTTGGTCAAGGTCTCCATGGTTGATAAGTATTTCACTTTGAGATCACGTGGAGACACGTTACTGTCACAAATGGTTTTGTTGTTAAACTCTTTCAGGAAATGCTTGAAAACGTTGTTTATCCGAATCCTGGTGAGGAAATTCCTCTGTCTGATAGTCTTGTTCAAAGTTTCAGGAATATAATGCTTATAGCTAGAAGGAAAAAAAAACAATGCTACAATTTAATACTGTTGTCTCCTAAACTTTTAACTCTCTAAAATGTGCCAAATAAATTATTCTGAGGGTAATTTAGAACCCAAACCCCTGAATTAACAGTGAGGCAGTCAATACCCACCACGTGGATATGCTGGGTGCACTAGATGCACAGATTTAAAACAAAAAAGTAGTTTTTTAAATCCCTGCTGACAAGATAATGCATATTGGCATTTTAATGCCTCTGGACAAGACGAGCAAGACTCACTTAGCATTAGCATTGGGGCTTGTAACTCCTGTACAGTCAGACTCACCTGATATCTTTGGGGAGTTCTGGAAGCTTCACGTTTTTCTTGATGGCATAGTGAGAGATTGCAAGGACAGCCATCCCCAGACACTCATTCTCAATTTCATGGACCTCTTGATCATTCTTAGGATCACGGATTGGTGCCAGGCCTTTCACCAAGTCATACTGACCCTTAAGGGAAAGTAAAACCAAAAAGTTACCAGATTTGGGTTTTGTCAGAGTTTATAGATGAGCAAGCAGCATGTCTCAAGATCACAGGTTCTCCTCGAGCTAAAGGAGTCACCCAAAACTGAAAGCCAGGACAGGAAGGGGCAGGGGAAGAAGGAAAGAGCTGTGCAATAGATGCAGTCTTCTCTTAGACCAAGGAGACAAAACTAGGGACAAGCACTGCTCACCCCACAAACCCTGCCTATTTGAGAAGAATCAACATCTGTGCCTTGACGTTATCCCTCAAACAGTGGTTTTGCAAAGCTGCATATACAGGAATGTTCATAAAAGATGATGTAAGTTAGTTTGATTACACAGAAAAAATAATTTGCTTCTTTTATTATGTTAGAATGCAGGTGGTACCATTAAAATGCACACAGAGCTGTAGCTTACTTGGTATTTTCTTTCATTGGGGTTTCACAACTAAACAACAAGGATTCTCTGGAGGAGCCTCATGTTCTCTCTTTTTCAATCCTATTTCAAAGTCTCAAAATTCTGCAGCAGTCAGACTCAGAATTAACAGTAAACATGTTTTTTTTCCAGTGCATTTAGTTTGCTCATTTCACAAACCTTCATCAACTTCAGTCTTCCCATTTTTTTGCTGAAACCAGACAGTTTCTGGTTTGCAAAATCATCTGTGTGTACACAAGCCTCTTTTTTTAACAAGAGGACAAGCTTTCTGGAACAGGGACCCTCTGTACTTGCCATGTCCAGCATGTACCATGTACCACCAACAAGTGGGAGGCACAACAGAAGGAAAGAAAAACTAATACACAGTAAAAAAAGGGACACTATGCTCTCAGATTAATACTGCTCCTGCTCCTCTATGGGATACAAAGAGAGAAGTTACTCACAAATGTTTAGCAGAAAAGGTGATAGTATTAATATCCAAAAATAGTTAACACTGAAAAGAAGCATCCTATAAAATAAGCCCTTTTTGGATTATAACAGGTAATTTCTTTACTCATTTTACAGATGAGTAGATTGTTCTTCATGTAGCAAATCCTCTCCACCATGCAGCAGCATGAAGAAAACACTCAGCAATGCTAACAGGTAAGGTTACATGTACTTTAGAAGTTTGAAAATAGGTCTTTAGAGCAGTTTCTACTGGATTAAAGAGTTTTTGTGTCACTGCAATGGCAGAGATACTGCAAGCAACCTCTTACCTGTGCAAAGATGTATTCCAATGAGTTTGCATCCAGTATAGGGGTTCCTTCTGGTGCCAGCTTCTTCTCAAAAGAGTTCTTTGGCTTCCTTGGGGAATGCCTCCACACTGAGGGTTCATTTTCACTAGTCCCATGCCAGTTTGTAAAGTAGTATCTTGGAAGAAATGAGGAATAAATTTTTAGAACTTTGGGGGAAATCTTCCACTTACATTAGATGTGTATTTGAAACTTTTAAAAGAAACCACATTGAAGTCAGAAGTCAAAATCTGTGCAGAAGAATGAAGAATTATGTATCAAACAACTCTTTAAGACGTTTCTGTACTGCATTTCTGTCCATCCTTTCTTTTTGGTAAGTCTTTTTAAATCCCCCAAAAGCACATATCTGTGTCATGACAAGGAGCACCAACACACAATGCCAAAAATTCCTGCCAAGTTGTGTAAGATACTGCAGAACTCCTTTGGCTGAGGCCTAAAAAGCAGAGCAAAGCAAATCCTTCTGCCTCCAGGAAATGACTTGGCTCCATTATGCTCCTTTATAAGATGTGTGCTAATTAATAACTCCAATTCCTTTGGTATTTCCTGAAAATAATTATGGGTGAAGTACTGTGCATTGTTTGTAAGGGAGAGGAGAATTTGCTCCTTTCCCTATTAAACTGCACTGATTAAGAGAACACTTAAGTTACAATAAAAATTAGAGACCCACTGTTTGAGGAACCATATAAATAAAGAAGGAGAGTCTCTGTCTTGAAGAGACCAGTGGACTTGTGGCCAGGAGGAGACAGTTTATTATCTATGGCACTCTCACAATCAGAAGCAGGAGTGTAAGCCTTCCTATTCAGAAGACAAGCTGGAAAGGAGAAGGTGGGCTCCTGAGTTCCATAAGCACAACTCTGCCCTTTTTCAGAGCACTTAAGCCCAGGGCAGGAACCCGTGGCAGGGGTAAGAGCCAGGGATGGGGTGGGATTCTGGGGGTCAGCCCAAGCAGGTCACCCTGGAGAAGGAGATTTGCTCTTCACCAGTTCAATCTGGCCAAGAGTGGTGGAAATGCTGGAGAGGGACCTGCTGTTCTCTTTCCACCTAGAGTGGCTCTGATAGTTCTTCCTTCCAGTGTTTCCAGAAAGATTTGTCTTGGGTCCCTTCACCACACCAAGAAATATTGCTACCTTGGACTTAAACATAGTCCAGCTCTGGAGCAGTTAAACTCCTCCTCCATCAGCTGGTGTGCCAACTACTCCAGGATATTACAAAATACTGTGGTTTCTCATGTTGTAGCCTTTTATTGTTTTAAACTTGAGGCAAGTGAAAGACATAGAGGGCTAGTTTAAAAGTTTCTAGTGAAAATCAAGTCCTTTCAAAGTATAGAGGCTGGCACAGATTTGATGGGGAGAGGAAGAGGAGGAGGAGGAGGAGGAGAGGAATTCCACACAATCAGAAACCCAACCTAAAGCTTTCAGCAGTGGGAGAAAAACCAAACATCTAAAAGCACTTGAAACTACTCAGTAACAAACCTCCATTTTCTATAGATACAATTTCAATAGGATGTGATTAAATTAAAACTATCACTGGAAGTAATTTCAGAAATAAGGCTGTCCACATAAAAGTGATTTAGTCTCTGAATGATCCACAGTCTGATACACTGTGCTATTAAATCAGCCCAGACCATTTTTCAAGAGGAATTCTGCCTCTTGCAAAGCACAGAATAAACAATATTGATTCAGAGAACAGTTTCACAATCCTGTGCTGTTGGTGATTTTTTCAGTGCTCTGCCCTGCTCAGAGCCCCAAGCCAAGAGACACAACAGATCAGAAACAAAAGGAAAACACTTCAACAATACACTACAGTATTCCTAGGGAGATGGGAATCTTTCCATTTTAGTGCTTAACTCATATAAAGCCTCTTCTTAAATGGATGTGAAATTATTTTAAATACAGATTATTGGCTCAGGGTTGTCGATTTCCATGCATGGAATACATCTGACAGAAGAGATGCCCCTGCAGAACTTCAAATCCCAACTCCAAAGCTTAGAAAAAATACATGACCAGAACTCTTAAATAGAAAGTAGGGCATTTTCCATAGCTTCAGCCTATTAACAGAACATTTCCAGAAAATAAAGCTCAAACTAGATTAACTTTGCCTACATATGTAAAATTCTATAAGAGTTATGAACAGCCAAAGAAGATTTTTAAGAGGGGTTGTTCAAGGTGGTTTTACCTGCAGGTGAGATGCAGGAGAAGTGGAAAAGAGGATCTGGAGAGAGCACTCATCATTCACCCAAAGCAAATATAAATCCCAAACACAGTGGAAACTATTTTTTAAGAATTGAGTTAAAAACCAGCATCATGCTTCTAATCAAGAGGATTAAACTCCTACAAGTACATTTTTAAAATACCACCTTCTTTTACTGAGAAGAACAGACCACATCAAAGAATTTCAGGAGAAAATGCCCCAGATTCATGTTATACCAGGAAATTTTCTAATTATCCATGATCTGGTTAATCTGACTGATTTCTTACAGCAAGAAAGGGCACTTGATGCTCTGTGAGAGGCCAGTAGGGTCCTCAGGGCTTCTTCTAGAGTCACACTTCCTTTATTGTAGGGTGTTTATCTGCCAAACTCAATCACAGCTGAGATTAGCCATGGTTAGATCATTAATAAAACTAACAGATTGTGTTAAAGAAAAACTAAAATACTTTTAACACCCTTTCCCTCTTCTAAAAATAGGTATCAGTACTATAATTACTTGAAAAGCAAAGATATTTTTGCTGACTGTTGGGTTGCTTTTTTCCCTGGGAACAGTTCATCCAACAACAGGAACAATTCTAGTCTGGCACAAACATAAGGAGCATGGAAACACCTCAGAGCTCAAAGATCACGTTGTCAAAGCTCTCTCTTTGCACCTGCATAAGCAAAGTGGTTGTGCCTCTCTAATAAGTCTGGAAAAGAGTCTGGATGCACAACAAGATGTTTATAAATTGAAGTTCTCCCATTGGCATGTACAAGTGAGAGTCATGTTGTCCAGCTAATCAGGAAAAGATGTTAGAATCCACAAAACTAATTAGCACATGAAGTTTCTTATTCCTGTGTAGCACAGACTGACTGTGTATGTGAGTGTTACATGTTAAGGCAAAGAGGGAATATCATGTAGAAGCTTATAGTCATAGAGTCATAGAATTGTTCTGGTTGGAAGAGACCTTTAAGATCATTGAGTCCAACCAGCCCCCAGCCCTGCCAGGTCCCCACTGCCCCGTGTCCCTCACACCACCTCGCCACGGCTTGGAAACTCCTCCAGGGGTGGGGACTCCACCACTGCCCTGGGCAGCCTGGCACAGCCCTGGACAACCCTCAAGGGCAAGAAATTGTTCCTCAGGGACAACCTCAACCTCCCCTGGGGCAACTTGAGGCCCTTTCCTCTTGTCCTGTCCCTTGTTCCTTGGGAGCAGAGCCCGACCCCCCCCTGGCTCCAGGCTCCTGGCAGGAGCTGTGCAGAGCCAGAAGGTCTCCCCTGAGCCTCCTTTGCTCCAGGCTCAGCACCCCCAGCTCCCTCAGCTGCTCCTCCCCACACTTGGGCTCTAGACCCTTCCCCAGCAGCTCCGTTGCCCTTCTCTGGCCACGCTCCAGCCCCTCAAGGTCCTTCTGAGAGTGAGGGGCCCAAAACTGACCCCAGGATTCAAGGGGCAGCCTCCCCAGTGCCCAGTCCAGCGGTACAATCCCTGACCTAATCCTGCTGGCCACACCAATGTTGATCCAGGCCAGGATGCTGGTGGCCTTCCTGGCCACCTGGGCGCACACTGGCTCATCTCCAGCTGGCTGTCCACCAGCACCCCCAGCTCTGTTTCTGCCAAGCATTTTCCAGCCACTCTTCTCCAAGCCTGGAGCACTGCCCAGGGTTGTGGTGACCCAAGTGCAGGACCCGGCCCTTGGCCTTGTTGAACCTCATCCTATTGGCCTTGGCCTATCAACCCAGCCAGTCCAGACCCCTCTGTGGAGCTTTCCACGCTCCAGCAGATGAACACACCTGCCCAGCTTGGTGTGGTCTGCAAACTTACTGAGGATGCCCTCAATCCTCTCATCCACAGTTTTGATAAAGATATTAAAGAGAACTGGTCCCAAAACTGAGCCCTGGGAACATCACTTGTGATTGGCCACCAACTGGATTTAACTCCATTCCCACCACTCTCTGGGCCTGGCCACACAGCTACTTTTTGATCCAGCAAACTGTATGTCCATCCAAGCCATGGGCAGCCAGTTCCTCCAGGAGAATGCTGGGGGAACCAGTGTCAAAATCCTTACTAAAGTCCAGACAAACAACTCCCACAGCCTTTCCCTCATCTGCTAAGCAGGTCATCTTGTTTCACAAAGAGTTCTCAAACAACAGTTTCACAATCCTGTGCTGTTGGTGATTTTTTCAGTGCTCTGCCCTGCTCAGATGCCCAAGCCAAGACACACAACAGATCAGAAACAAAAGGAAAACACTTCACCAATACACTACAGTATTCCTAGGGAGGTGGGAACCTTTCCATTTTAGTGCTTAACTCACATAGGCTGTTCTTAAATGATTTTGATAAAGATTATTGGCCCAAAGGTTGTTGATTTTTCATGAGTGGAACACATCTGACAAAAGAGACACTCCTGCCAAACTGTTTTCCCTTCAGGTGAATAGTAAAATGCCCATGGGCTTCAGGAGAAGTGCAGCTCACTTTGAACACTTCAGCTGGAAATGGAAACATGCAAAATACTGACAGAATAAAACAACATTTTTCGAGGCTTTTTTTCTCTTTTTCTATTTAGCTTTTAGTTCAGTCACAGCTTTTTGGATCCGAGTTCCTGTGGTTTTTCAAATTCTGGGGCTTTTTTTAAAGTTATACAACAAAGATGAAAGAGAATCAGGAAACATTTTAAGTTTTTAGTGTTGATCTGTTATCTAAGCTGTGAAAATCAAGCTGCTGCTTTTGGTTTTGCTTTCCTGCTTCTTCAGTGAGTTCAGTGGTAAGAGTGAGAGCATCCACATGCAGCTGAGGAATCATTTTTCAGCTGTTTGGCACTTACCTCATGCGATAATGGAGCCGCTGTGATGTTTTTTCATCTATCTTAAAAACCTGGTTTGGTGCATACCAGAGTTTTTTGCTTTCATCATACAGGGCAAAGAGATTATGGCACAGAGGAGAGATAGCTGAGGAGAAAAGAAAACAAATGCATAAATCATGAGGCTAAAAGACATATGCACCTTCCCAAAACACAAGCACATAAAGCAAAGAGCTGATCTGGCAGAAGAGACCACACAAAACAACTGATACTGGGGTTAGTTTAAAACAAACATTAGAAAGTTATGGTTAAGTGGATCTGGAAACTGCACATTGGTTTACTCTGTTTTATTGTGAATTGAACAGCAGCTCATTCCAGCTACCTCTAACACTAAACTTGCTCTGAAATCCTGATTTTGGCCCCAAGGTCTGAACAAAGGAGGAAATGACTTAAAATTTTTCCTCTTCCCAGATGACAGAAATGGATGTTTTAACAAAACCACGTGGCAACACCGCATCCTGGGTCTCAGCTTTATTTTCTAAAACGATTTTATACCTTTATTTTCTACATTTAGTTTATAAATTTTACTCCTAGAGTTGAAACAGCAGGTTTTAGGGAAATGATGAGAATCTCCTGGTCGTTAGCAAACGAGCAGGAAGCCTGATGTGTCATTTTCCCATTCTTCCCTGATTCCACAGAGGCTTTTCTGACAAAGAACAGATTTTTGACTTGTATGTCTAGGCTGACCTGCTTTAAACTTGGCATTTACATAATCCCAGAGAAAAAACAGGCCACGGTATGTTTACAGGGTTGCTGTTGCTTGAATTCCTTGCTTCTGGTTCCTGCTCAATAGGAGGCAGCACCTCGTTGCAAAAGCCCTGCTCAGGCAAGAGGCTCTGCTGCAGAGAGCTCCACCGTGGCCTTCAGAGTCGTTCTGACACTGGGCCAACCACAGAGCCCTTTGTTGGGGTCCTGCAGAATTCCATGAAACCATTTCTGTTGTGACTTGGGCAGAGAGAGCAGAAGGGAAGGAGAGAAGCCAAGGAAACAAAAACTGAATCGCCTAGTTGCAAAGTTCACTGGAGGTGGGGTTGGGCAGCCACTGCCTTCTGCAGGTCAACAAGTGGGACATAGAGACTGTCAACCATTTAACATTCAAGATGTGATACACAGCAGAGACCAGCACCACAGGCCTGCTGAAATCCCAAAATCCCAGCCCAGTGTTGTTGGAAGGGACCTCTGGAGATCATCTCGCCCAGCTCCTGCAGGTCCAGCAGGGTGCCCAGGATGGTGCCCAGGGGGGTTTGGGATCTCTCCAGAGCAGGAGACTCCACAGCCTCTCTGGGCAGCTGCTCCAGGCTCGGCCACCCTCACCCCAAAGAAGTTTCTCCTCCTGCTCAGGTGGCACCTCCTGGGTTCCAGTTGGTGCCCGTTGCCCCTTGTCCTGTCCCTGGGCACCACTGAGCAGAGTCTGGCCCCAGCCTCTTGCCCCCTGGGGGCCCTTTAGCTCTTGCTCAGCACTGCTCAGATCCCCTCTGAGGCTTCTCTTCTCCAGCTCAGCAGCCCCAGGGCTCTCAGCCTTTCTTCATCACAGAGAAGCTCCAGTCCCTCCAGCAACATCAGAGCTTCCACTGGGCTCTCTCCAGTCACTCCTTGCCTCTCCTGAACTGGGGAGGCCAGAAGTGGTCCCAGTACTCCAGAGGTGGCCTCAGTTGGGCAGAGTAGAAAGGGGAAGAGAAGCTCCCTCAACCTGCTGCCCACACTCTTCTTCATGTCCCCATACAAGAGGACCTCTCTGCTCCTGTAGGCCTCTACAGAGGGGTTCACACTTCCCACAGTCTTAGGTAAGGCTTTTGTACATCACTTCCCTCTGCTGTGGACTTTGTCAAAGAACAAAAGAAGGCAGAAAGAAGTTCCCTTAAGGAAAACTTTAAATTACTTTAAAGTAATTTCTTCAAATGTTCTAAGCTTCCAGCAGAAACTACTGGGAGCAGTTGCACAGTATGTGGGTTCACACCCATCCAAACAGCAGATGTGCATGCTGACATAAACAGGTGGGGTTTAAATGCTCCTCATCTTCATTAAAACTATTCAAAACCAACAGGAGTACTTATTTGACATTTGTCCTTCAGATTTCCATCATCCCTGCCATTCCAATGGAAGAGAAGCAATTAGGCAAACGAACTGAAGGATACTCAATGTGACAAAAATCAAGATGATCTGGGAAAAGAAAGCATTTTAAAGCTGCAAGAAAACTTATGCCCAGTTTGCCCCTTCATACAGTCAGATTCAGCACTCCTGTATCAGCTGAATACTATTTGGTGTTTCACGAAGCTGAGGGAACACAAAATTTGGATCAGGGCAGGAAAGCACCTTAGCATTGTAAATATAAAAGTACACTGGTTCATGGGGCTCAAACAGAGCTTAAATCCTCTAATTCCAGTCAAATTGCATAGATGTTCAAATCTTTTGCTGAGTCATGGAGCACAGTGACAAAGCAAGACATCTTCATTCCACTGTGATGCATTACTGCAACTGGGCACAGCTCAGATAACCCTCAGTGGTGAGTAACTCTCTGAAAGTGTCAAGTAACAGAGAACTAAAACTGGGAAAGAAACAAATAGGTTTGGGGTTTTACTTTCATCAGCCCTCTCCAAAATATTTTATAACTCAGGACAGATCCTGACAGGTTTATCAGCAGTATACCAGGTAAAACCAGCTCTGTGTTAACTGATTTGCATATGGTGTCTCCTCTTCTCTTACAAGAAACCCAGTCATCCCACCTCAACTGAAAAATCAGTACCTGTATCTGCCAGAAACCAGGGTGGGAGAACATCAGGGCAGTCTCTCTCATCATTTTCTTCCCCTCCAAGCAGTTTAAGAACTGCCCAAACAGAACTTTGGCCAAAGTTTCCATCCTGGACTACATAATATGCCTATTTCTTATACAAACATGGACTTGCCTGCAGAGAAGGATCCATCACTTCCAATACTGTCAGGCCTTGCCCCTGAGAAATGACACAAAACCCCTGTACTCACAACATCTCTGGGCAGCTTCAATGCACAGCTCCTCCGAGGTAAACTCCCCACTGGTGTAGCAAATGGGATTTTTATCTTGCAGGTAGAAGAGTATTTCCAAACCCTGATGCTGAGCTTCCAGGTTCACCTCGCTCTTCTTTGTGCTCCTCATTTTTGCACAGAAAGCCATGGCTTTGCAATCTTCTTTTACGTTTAGATACTGAAAGTGAAGGAAAAATAGTTAAGGAAAATGTGAGGCAGAGTTTGAGTGGCTGGCAGAACACACACCCACTGCTTAGTGAGGCTACTGATGGGCTAGGCACAGTATTTTTCCAAGTCTGCACGCTGAGAACCTGATTATTCCACATCAGTATTTTTCACAGATGAGGTGAAAAGTGAAAACAGAAATGTCAATGATGATGCTGCTTCTGGTAACTCTGTTCCAAATAACTCCCTTCTGTTCTGCTGGTTCCGCAACTATTCTAGAAGGTTTCTCTTCTTACTGTAAAGCAGGAATAACTTTCACATCCTTAAGCACCTAAGTGGCTGAAAAACAATACTTGAGGGTGGGTAATATAAACAGTACAATTTATATTTCCTTTAAAAAAAAAAGGTTAGCTTCTATTTTTGCCATCTCCTTAATGGCTAAATATTTCTGATTGTTTTCTCCTCTCTCACCATTTGTTTTCTAAACTCCTGATACTTGATGTGTCATGGGGAAATGAGCTTTATTGGGAGAGTTATTTTTTATTATTACTCATCTCTCTCTCTCTGCAGAAGGAAAGAGAAGTACTAAGTAGTTTTAAGGCAATAGCTTTCAGACTGCCAAGAACACATAAGAGACAGCTCTGGCTCAACAGAAAACACGTGTTGCATCTTACACCCAGTGCTTAAATAGAAAGGGCAGAAAGGAAACAGATGAACCCACTCCAGGTATCATGGGGTCTGCGTTCCACATTTTACTAAGCTTTAGCTCAACTAATAACTAAAAGCCCAAACCACCAATTCTATAGTTTATGAAATTCATCCTCCCACCAAAAAGAAACACAAACAAACAAACCCACCCAAACCTCAAAAGCCAACCCACCTGCATTTATGTGACTGTCTGATCCTCTACACCACTGAAACGGATTATCTTCGCAGATTATCTCCACGCTCTCCAAGAGCAACAGGGCTCTGCCTGGCAGGAGAAAAAAGAATTTAAATTGTCACAAATGGCTTTGGACTGTTTGAGAAGTAAAATATCAGGTCAGGCTGATAAATTGCCACTTGGCAAGCAAGGGAATGTTTCCACTAAATAACTGAGACCCAGATGGAGTCTCAACCAAGCACAGGCAGGGCAACCACCTCAGAGTAATCTACTGATTTCTTTTGACTCTTTGGGTGCAGTGGCTGAGATGCAAACAAAAGCAAGGGGAAAATTCTTGGTTATTCATTTGGGGTTTTTTTAATTTTTTTTTTTTTTCAGAACATCAACCAGTCGTTTGGTGTTGCACTCACTGCAACCCTCAGCTGTGACACCAAAGGAGGATCCTTCTCTTTGCTTTACCTCCTTCATGGCTTTTCAAGTCCCTTCATTCTTCACATTTTTAACTGCATATTGCTAATACCAATTCTTCCCTAGACTCTGCTGCTTCTTCCCCTTCCAGACTAGCAGGCTTTTTCTTTGTTTTATTCTCCTTTGCTCTAGGAAGGGTGCAGTCTTGGGTGGGCAACAGACAATAAAGAAGCTACTCAAGGGAGTCCCATTGCAAGGATTGTGTTTCTCTCAGAAGAACCTGGTTCACAAGCTGCTCAGCCTGTGACTTCAGTGCCTTCAAGCAGTAGAGGCATCTTCCAAGACCCTACTTTTTCTTTTTAAGCATTACCTAGCACCACAAACCACCTCAGTATTCCAGGACTGGTTTGCAAGACTGCTCTCACCCAAAGTTTGAGGTTATCCTCATCACCTGAAGCAAACCAGGAAAATATCAATATCAGCTTTTTTTAATGACAGGCACGACAGTGCCTCTAATATTTAAAGTATTGTCTGATATAAGAGCTGTAAAATCAATTAGATGCTATAGGAACACTGAAGAAGCAGGCAGGGAACGAGAGGG